GTAACGCTTGGCAGGCCGGTTGGTAACTGCAGATTTTTATAATTTTGAGAATTATTATCAGGAAGATACCCATTTCATGTTCCATTTCTCTCTGTCGCCTCTTTTTTATATGATAAGGGTGACAAGCGAGCACACTGTCCACCTGATGGTAAGTGGTTGCTGTGGCCCATAGACATCTACATCTATTCTCGTATGCGAATCAAAATGTATATGCGTTGTTAGCCGTGAGGTCTAAGATGGAATGCCTCTTTTCCTTCTTCTTACGACCCTTTGTAGTATTTCCTTAATTTCAGGGCAATTCCCTTGATGCCTTAGTCAGCATCGGAATCCTCGTCGTCATCCAATCAAATAACGTTCTGATTCGCGGTGACCTGAAAGAGAAGGCCAAATTGGTCTTCCTTTATCGTACTTAGTAGAGCGATACAGTATTTTATGACAGCACACCGATTGCAACTTTACAAGTCGCAAGTTCGGCTGGAGCTAGCTGTGGAGTGCTCTGTCCACTTAAGATAGGCTCCACTAAAATAAAAATTTACTTAGTTCTTATTCTTAACTGTTACCCTTACAGCATAAATAAATATCTATGCTCGTGCAAATTATTAATAGCGCTTTACTTGAAGCAGGTAGTTCCACCTCAAAATTACGCCTGCAATTCTTCTTGAAGACTGAAACTCTATCACAATTGCTCCTCGCCGCTATACTTGCGACTAAAATACCTCAGGCAAGTAAATTAACACATTCAAACGGTTAGTAATAGTACAGTACTTAATTATTCATTATCATTTTTATAGCTTAAAAAAATGCATAACCTTAATGGTCCTACTTAGCAGGCAAATTGACGACTGCACTTTCAGCTATTTACTTCGCTGTTGGTTCGTGTATTTTCCGTGGCATAACTCTTACTCCAAAAGACAAGTTGGGGCGATGCGATCTCATAGGGTGTTACCACACCAATCGTCGATCGATTACGATCGGTTGGTGTAGTAGCTTTAGCTGATCGACGGATACTGGTCGATAAAACGTTGGTTTGCGAATAATCAAGCAGTTCGATTGACGTCGATCAATCCATTCTACAATCAATCGCTGCCATCTATCGATCGGTGTGGTTGAAATTGTCGATCGACGTAGACTAATCAATTCCACCATCGATCGAAGCCATTGATCGACGATTGATCAATTAGTGTGGTAACACCCATACGAGTATAACGCTGACAAAATACGTCATTAGATTATACTAGGGTTAGTATACGATAGATTACGCAGAAAGGTTTACGAAAAAAAAAAGAGAGAGGAATTTTGGGATAGCATGAGAGAGGTCTTGAATAAATGCGGAGAAAATGAACGGATCGTGATGTTAGGGGACTTTAATGGATGGGTTGGAGTAAAGCGTGATGGGTATGAAGGAGTTCTGGGTACGTTTGGGGACGAGAGAGTGAATGACAATGGGAGAAGCCTGCTTGAAGTATGCTTGGAATGGAATCTGTGCGTGGCCAATACAATGTTTGACCACAAAAAGATCCATTTGTATACAAGAGATGAGGGTGAGTCTAGAAATATGATTGATTTTGTAATTGTGGATGAAAGACTGAGGAAGAAAGTGCTAGACACTCGGGCATACCGCGGTGTAGGCCTCGACACAGACCACTTCCTGGTCATAGCCCGAATGCGTGGCCTCTTTAAACGGTGGCAACACCGAGTGGCCGAGCCTACGAGTGTTTTGGACAGAGTAAAAGTGGAAAATCTACAAGAAAAAGAAAAGAAAGACGAGTATGTAGAGAAACTGAAAGAAAGTTTTAAAGGGATAGAAGAGATAGGAGTGATTGAAGATTTGTGGGAGACATTTAAGAAAGGGGTCGTAAATGTTGCTATTGAGGTATGCGGGGTAGCTAAAAGAAGGAAAGGAAGAAAGAATGATAACGTGTGGATGGATAAAGATGTACAAAAGGTTGTGCAAGAAAAGAAGAAAGCGTGGTTGGATTGGTTAGCAACAAAAGCTAACCAAAATGTTCAAAAGGCAACGGATGACGAGATAAAGGAAGGAAGAACGAAGTATAAACGATTGAAAACAGCAGCGAAAGAAATTGTGTCTAGAAAGAAAGAAGAACGAAAGGATGATTTCGATAGGAGGCTCACTGAAGATTTCCAGTCAAACATTAAGTTTTTCTGGAAAACCATCAAAACAGCCAGAGGAAAAACTTCTACCTCTGAGCTGAGTACAATCAGGAGTCAAGATGGCAGCATTATAAAAGGAGAAGAATGTGTGTTAAAGAGATGGAAAGAGTATTTTGAAAGTTTGTTTGAAAGAGAGGAAGTGCAGGTACAGCATCTGCCACCTTCCACGGAAACTAATATAAATGTTGATGAAAATGAGATAAGCATGGATGAAATAGTGAAAGCGTTGAAAAGTATGAGATTAGGTAAGGCTGCAGGGTATGACAGGATTACCGTCGAGATGCTGAGGGCTGGACAGGGCCTGGTGGCTAGTCAGCTGTACCGCCTTTTCAATCTGTGCTGGCGAAATGGGCAAGTACCGGGAGACTGGTGCAAAGCCGTAATCGTGCCATTGTATAAGGGAAAAGGGTCACGGCAGGACTGCATAAATTACCGCGGTATAAGCCTTCTCAGCGTCGTCGGTAAATTATATGCGAAAGTGTTGATTGAAAGGATTGTGAATGAAACATACAAGAAAGTTTGGGATGCACAAGCGGGATTTAGAAAGGGAATGGGATGTACGGATCAGGTCTTTTCCTTGCGGTGCATAGCCGAAAAGTATTTGGCTAAAAACAAGAAAGTCTACTGCGCGTTCGTAGATCTAGAAAAGGCCTATGATAGAGTGGTGAAGAATGAATTGTGGTCAGCACTGTCCGTGAACGGTGCGAGCAGTATCCTCATACGAGCAATGCAATCTCTTTATAGGGATTCTAGTGCTTGTGTAAGGATAAACGGGGCATACACTGAATGGTTTAATATCGAAAAAGGTGTTAGACAGGGATGTGTAGCGTCACCGTGGCTGTTTAATCTGTTCATGGACAATTGTTTGACAGATTTAAAAGAGAATGAAAGTGGGTTGAGAATGAATGAGTTACTCGTCAAATGTTTTCTCTATGCTGATGACCAAGTATTACTTGCGTCTTCGGCCGAGGAGTTGCAGGAGATGGTAACTGCTATGAGTGGAGCTTTTGTTAGAAAGGGAATGAAGATGAATGTAAGGAAGACGAAAGTGATGGTGTTTGAAAAAGATGAGGCAGTGACAGACTGCAACATTGTGATTGAAGATGAACAAATTGAACAGGTGAAAGAGTTTGTGTATCTGGGTTCAAAGTTTACAAGAGATGGAAAGTGTGAGAGTGATATCGAAAGAAGAGTGAACGCAGGAAACATGGTGAATGGAGCTTTGCACTCCTATATGAGCAGTCGGAAGGTGTCTAACAAGGCTCGTTTGGCTGTGCATGAGGGGGTGTTGGTTCCGACACTCATGTACGGAAGTGAAACTTGGGTATGGCAGAAGAAACATGAAAGCAGAATAAATGCAGTTGAGATGAGAGCATTAAGAAGTATGATAGGAGTTAAACTAAGTGACAGGATAAGAAATAGTGAGATAAGGAAACGTTGTGGTCTGAAAGAAGATGTAGTGACAAAAATTGAGAAAGGTATGCTGAGATGGTTTGGCCATGTCGAGAGAATGAATGAAGAACGATTGACGAAAAAAGTGTATAAGGCGAGTGTGAATGAAAGTGTTGGAAGGGGTAGACCTAGGCGGACATTTCTAGACCAAATCAGGGACGTCTTGAAAAAAGGCCAGGTCAAGAGTACCCTAAACCGTAGAGCATGTATGAAGGGAATAATGAAAGTGGACGAAGCAAAACAAGTATGTAAGGATCGTAGCAAGTGGAAAGAACTGGTCTCTGCCTACCCCTACGGGAAAGAGGCGTGATTATATGTATGTATGTTTACGAAAAAAGTTATTTTAAAAATACGAGTAATTAAAAGTAAAAATACGAATGTTCCAATTACAAATTTCGCTGCAAATTTTTTACGAGCTAAATTGAAATTTCGTGTTTCATTGAAAAATGGATCTGCTTCGGTAACATATTCACGCTATGATTTTTTTACGATTTCAGACGTTGCCTAAAACGAATCGTTTGATAGACTTCAAATGGCCTTTATAAATAAAAGACCTTCTAAGGCCTCATAAACACCCATAAACAAGTTTTGATACAAGTTTTAAACAAAACTTGTGAAAGACTTGTCTTATAGATGTCATGATTAGGGTTCTACTGGTATAGCAAATTTTGCGTTAGATTCCGCATAATTACACCGATGCTAAGAAGCAGCCTCGCGCGGAATAGTACTGAGTCTTAATTACTTTATTTGAAACAGGCTCGTGTCGACATTATAACAGGCGATCTTGGAATCATCAATTCAATCATGTTATAATATAATACAATCCAACGCCTATTTATGTTAAAGCGATTAAAAAACGCAAGGAAGATTTTGCTTGCTTGTTTTATTTTTATTTTAACGGGGTATCTTGGGTTAGTTTCTTTACAAAATAGAAGTAGCATCAATGGCAAATAGTATGGTACAATCGACCGAACACAGTGCTCAACGGGCTACTGTTTAACTTTCACCTCTGCGATAAAAACGAGGGACTTCCTGGATAGTACACAAGTTAAGCTTTAAATGGTCACCCTAATTTCAGCCCTGATTTGGCAATGTTCAGTATGTGGGATACAGTCTTCATCTTCTGAAGATGCGTAAGAGTTGTCTGAAGGGGATTGGAAAAATTGTTTCTAAAATTGGTTAAGATGCATGAAAATTGTTGAAGAGTATCAATTTTTTTTTTAGTTTCGCATAACTTTCTGTGTTGCCCTGGTATATATGTAGTATCTATATATAGTACTTAAATGCGATGTGCGTTAATCACATTAAAGATTTGAATAAGTTATTACTCGTATATTTTTATTATTTTCAAGTAAAATAAAAAAAAATATAATTAAATGTCTTGTAACGTACTAGGGGCGGTCAAAATAGATCGGTCGGGGTGCCCTGGGATCTGTGGCCCGCAGGCCGCGACCACTGCAACCCTGTCTTTCTCAAGTTTCCGAAACTCATTTACCTCAAATGTCAATTACTTGAAAAGAAGGTATGTATGTTGAAAAATTGGTTTTTCTAAATATAAATATATATTTACTTTGTTTAATATATACATAAGTCGCTGTAAACAATAACTCTGTAAATAATTTTGGTTATATTTTAAGTACTTAGTTTAAACTCTACAATTTGTTTTTCTATTCTATAAATGCTTCAATATTTTATTTTACGTTTGTGTCATTTCCATAACCTTTACATATATTCATTTCAGTTTTATTTAAATATTTGCACGCCTTCATATAATTTTCATAAAATCTTTTTGAGTATACTAATTGAAAATTTATGAGACATTTTATAAATATTTTCTTAGTAAATAAAGTCTGTCACCGGACTTCGTGGTAATGTATGGAGAAGGCTCCAGTTCAGCCGTGATCTTGTGATGATTTAAATCTACGTTTTTGTGATTTCATAAGAATTAATACATTTAAAATGTAATTTTTTTTCCAAGAAATTTAACTTTGTTTAATTGTTTATGATTTTTTAAATAAACACCGTAAAGCGTCAAAGAAGCTTCACTGCGCTGCTTCCACGATCCTGTCCGCACTAAATTTCCTGTATCCTATTCCTCGTTACCCGCTGTTCACATACTGTGTAGCACCACTCATTTGTTTTATTATTTACATAAAAGGTTTACATTCACACCCGCCGGTCGCACGGACGTTTTTGTGCAATAAATATGTGAGAGCCGACTATTATAATATGCATGGCGCTTTATCCTTTTTAATATCATTGTTGTCATTAGATATGGCTGTTATCATAACGATATTTTAACGTTAAGTTGCAAATTAGCTTATAACCTTATAAAGCAACGATTTTCATTTAAAACTAACTTTCATTAAACTTTTCTTAAATACTATGGTTAAATTACACAATTTTACATAATTAAAAAAAGCAAGAAATCAGCTCTCTTTCACTGATTCTATAGAAGGAGGACTTTATCAATACGATTTGCATTTTAATGTATTTAACCATAAAACCATATAAATTTAAGCGGATATTTTAATATAATTTAACTAGATATGATTCAAAAAGTCGGTCATATTTTCATATAAAAAACTAATCAATACTTGCCCCCATGATAAATATCTTATTAGTCTTTAAATTTAATATATTAAATGCGAAAATTTTGCTATTCTCATTACAACATGAAAAATCTATTATATCCTTAAATGTAGCAATAAGACAACTGTTTTACTGATGTGGAATCAGTGGTAATAATAGTTTTCGTATTATTACGAATTTATAAAAATATTTTTCTAAGTTTAAAACGAAGGCGGCAAAGAGTGGCTACATTGTGTGCGTGTCATTTTGGTCCCTTTGTGCGTGTCCCCGTCCTGGCGCGGCGCGGTGTCGCGGTGGCCGAGTAGCTCAGTGGACGCGTTGCGCAGATTCAGCTCCGGGGATCTGCAGTCGGAGTGCGATGAGGGCGAGGTGGACCCGTACACCGGCCGGCCGGCCACCACCAGCCAGCCTAAGCCGCAGCATCAGAGGCCGGTCTCACAAGGTAACGTCTTTTCGTCTAATCGTCACTTTCGATTACTTATAAATAAAATAAGGAGTCTTTTTGTTTTAAAATTACGCGCTAATTTAAACGATTGAAAGAATATTGTATTCTGTAAAATTGCAGAAATTTATTCTGTCAATGACGTTATATGATAAACGACTTATGAACCAATTTGTTAAAAATAAAATTTTAGGATGTTAACGATGTTGTCACGTGTCTTTATGGGAAAGTTATATAATTTTATGTTTCGAAGTTAGTTGGCTATTTATACGTTTACAGCCTTACTGAAAGACAATATAATCACTATGTTTTAGTGTTACTTAATAACAGTCTATGACTTGGGGTTGCCGCATCGCGAGCCCCTACGCGACGTTCTCTAGGAGGCAAGGTTAATATTTTGACACATCCATCCTTGTTATTTTTAAAATATTATAAAAGGCTTTAAGATGTAAATAATGTAATAAGGAAATAAGAAAGAACATAAATTTGTTTAATAAAAAGAGGGACTTCTTCTGCAGCGTTCTGCAGACCGTTGGTCGAGGTGACACCCCAGAGGTTTCTAAATTTAGATTGGCTAAAACTAGTAAACCTTTTCTTAGTATATTCATAAAATTGTACGTCTACGTATGTTTGGTATAATTATATTTCTGAACATGTGAAGCCTGCCAAAGTACTATACCTACGCGTTTAAGTAATTGCTCCATTAGCCTGGATTGAACATTAATGAACTTGTGCATGTTGGACGTATATAAGCTATAACTTTTAACTTTTTACCCAAAAACAGTAGACATTTTTAACCTCTAGATCAAGGTCTGAAGTTGTTACTATATTTTAATTACTAAACTTTTTAATGCATTGAGAACCGAATATGTAATTAGAATACACTCGTATACTGCAGGCTTGTACAACGAAATTCCGAACTAAAAGTCAGAAGTTATCCATAACAATTGGTAGTTCCAAAGTTAGTTTTAAAAAGATGGACGAAATGCAACATATAGAAAAAGCTAATCATCATTATCATTACATCCTTTCACAAGTCCACTGCTGAACATAGGCCTCCCCCAAGTTATACCACAAATCACGGTCCTGAGCCACCTGCATCCATCGACTGGCTGCATGTCTTAACATGTCGTCACTCCATCTAGTGGGGGGTCGCCCTACACTTCACCAACCGGTACGAGGCTGCCACTCGAGAACCTTTTTTCCCAATCGGTTGTCGGTTCTTCGAGGTATATGGCCGGCCCATTGCCACTTCAGATTATATCTAATCGGCCAATTGCACTACAGCTTCATCCGTTGAGCTATGTTAGTCACTCTGGTTCCACTGCGAATAGCTTCACCACGTCAAGCAACAAGCTTCGGGTCTCGCGCCTACTTCACAGTGACCGAGTGAAGCCGGCCACAGTCGACCGTGTGCCTGCTGTACTATCATATGTCAGAGGTGTCATAGACAAGATTGACTACATATTGAAGCCAACTTCTATTAGAACATTCTTCAAGCCGCCAAAGAAGATTAGTCAGTTCTACAAGATGCAGGAGTGTACAAGCTTGATTGTGAATGTAGTCTCTCATATATAGGGCAAAAAAAGCGATCTATCAAAAAAACTCATAGCTGACGTGCAACACCAACGTTCCGCGTAGTCTGTAGTTCGTGATCATATCCTAGACGGCCCCCGCCATTACATTAGATTTAATAAACTACAAATTCTCGAAAAAGAACATCGATTCCTGCCAAGGATGATACGTGAGGCTATTAAAATTTAAAAAAACATCCTAATTTCAATATAGAGGGAGGCTGGGTACTACCACCTACCAAACCAAATTAAAAACCAAACTAAACCCAAGCATACCACTGCAAGACTTCAAGACACAGTAAGTTCAATCTGCGTAGATCGGACCAAAATTAATAATTAAAAAGCTGAAGGTAATCCGGATTAATTCTGACATCGGAACGTCAATCACCTCGGTCCCCCGTGACCATGGGTGATGTAAAGTAACCTAAACATCGGGAAACAATAAAAAATAAGTTAATTAAACGTGATAGAATACCATATATTAACTTTTTTTTAAAAGATTGAAGTGAGAAATAAACTTAAAGTCCATCTGATGATAAGAAGCTATAGCAGCCCATGGACACCTGCAGCCAACAAACAATGAAGACTACAGATGCGTTGCCACCTCTGAGAACTAAGATGGAATGCCTTACAACCTGTTATTATTGTTGCTCTCTACCCTTCAAGCCAGAACACAGTAGTGCATGCACTGATATTTGATGACAGAGACCGGTAAGAGAATGCTGTACGATGCTGTACAACGATACTACACGTGTTGTAGTATCGTTGTACAGCATCGTACAGCCTTCGGTCTTTCCTAATTTTGGTGCCTGGGGTAGTGGTATTGGGATAGTGGTGACGGTGACTCCTTGGCAGAAAAGAAGTGCTATCACATAGACAAGTTCACATTTCAATAAATATTTTATCCACGCAGTCACTGGCGGCAGCATCAGCAGTGCTTCTGGTGTGCCGGCGCCTGCACCCAACCCAGCCGGTGGCGACCTCTCCCTTAATTTGAGGGGAAGCTCTCGAGGCACCTCCGCTCCATCTTCACCAGCCAAGTCCCGAGAATCTTTGCTGCAGCGCGTGCAGTCGCTGACCGGTGCCGCAAGAGATCAGGGCGCTAATTTATTAGGTACATCGAATATTGACAATACTAAATCGTATATGTAAATGATGTTATATAATATACTTGCAATAATATTAATAAACTACAAACTATATGTATGTGTAGTTTGTAGTTTATTAATATTATTTTAGAATGAACTCGAAATCAGATTTATTGAAAAAATAAGCCTTTCCTACAAGATATAATTAAAATGAATGATAGTTTTTTTTTTATAGGATCGGGTGACAAACGAGGACACAGTCCACCTGATGGTAAGTGGTTACTGTGACCCATAGACATCTACATCTATCCTCAATAAAGACTCAAGATGTAGATGCCTTGTCACCCGTGAGGACTAAGATGGAATGCCTCTTTGCCAGTAAAAAGGGTCTCCGGTTCTCTACACTCGCCATACGAAACACAGCAGCGTTAAGCTGCTATTTTACGCTGGTTTTCTGTGAGAGTGTGGTCCTTCCCCGATCGAGCCGACCCATTCGTGCTACAACCATAATATAGTTGCAGTATGGCTCTACCACGTAGAGTAGTAATCCATCTAATATTTATTATAAGACTAAATTATTATAAGCGATGATAAAATACCGTGGTACCGTGTAGTGGCGGTGTAAGAATATCCGCTACCCCATATCATCCAGTGGATGTCGCCAGAGACGACAGAGGGAAACAAATCAGGAAACTGAAAAATAAAAAACAAAAAAAAACTGCAGTTGCCAACCCGCTTCCCAATCGTGGCAACTATGGCCAATATCCCCCTATAATATATAATATAGGTTAACCTATGTTCAGCAGTGGACTTTAAAATGCTCTAACAGTATGATAAAATAAATGTAGTCTTTGATAAAATAAATGTCATCGTTGCTAAATAAAATTTAATCTTTGATAAAACAAATTTAATCGTTAATAAAATAAATGTAATCTTTGATAAAATAAATGTAATCTTTGACAAAATAAATGTAATGTTTGATAAAATAAATGTATCCTTGATAAAATAAATGTAATCGTTGATAAAAAAAAATACATGCGTGAGTGTCGTGGAACACTCGGTTGGAACGAAGTACCTTTCGTAGTATATTATTATTATTGATAGACGTATTCTATTATTAACAAATAAAATTAAATGACTTAGTAAAAAGTGCGAGAGAGTTGGATATTATTCCATCTCGCTCGCACTATAGAAACATGACGGAAAAATCTTACACTTTTTCTCGCCTAGCCCCCATCCGCCAAAGTCGTACTGTGCGATAAAGAACTTCGTTCCAATAAATGATAAAATAAACGTAATCTTTGATAAAATAAATGTAATCGTTGATAAAATAATGTGATCTTCTTATTTAATGTAGTTTCTTTACATTAAAGAAAACTTTTCGGTCAACCATAGCAGAGTCTATTTCTCTTGATGATGCCTTGTTTAGAGGCAAAACGTGTTGTAGTATCGTCAGTGGTGGGTCTTTCATAGTTTTGATGTCAGGGGTAGAAGTATTGGGATTAGTGGTGACGGTAATATTGCACGCAATTGAGAGAGGTTCATCAAACACGTTTTCATCAAACAAAGAGGTTTTATTTTTCACGCGGATCTTAGCGAACTTACATATTTTAACATCTTAAATATTATGAATTTTCCCAAATTAACGCCTGATTCTATTAGTTAGCAAATTTTCAGGTTTAGTTTCGAAAGGTATATTATATAAATGTTCTTACAAATATTATACCATAATAATTTTAAAACTCAAAATATTGAACTAAAAGAGAAACATTTACAACTAATTGAATAAAACTTGAATAATTTTTTAGGATTCTATTTCGTTTAATTATTTCATTTTGACATCGTAATCGTGGCCGTGAATGCATCGGAAAAGATAAAAAGATTGATTTCCTTTAAAAGTACCACTTATTCCTTGTTCAGCAATCAAAACCCTAACAGACGCTTTGACTAAAATCCGTAGTTTGTTCAAGAATCTCTTGAGTTTCTTTTGAATGTAAATTCAACATTATTAAAATTTTAAAAACTTTTACCATTTGAGAGGCATTATGAGCTCGTAGTCGAGGAACTTATTTGCTTGTTTTGAGTTATTAAGGAATTTATATTTTGTTTCAACTCTGAAAGTAAAAGCAGAAATTAATTTAAGATGTAGCTCTTTACTTAGTACTTCCTTTCTTGTTAAATTAAGTAAAATTAGTTTCTACAAATATCACTAAACAAAGTTATGGATAAAAAGTGAGCATTTCGTGTATTTTTAAAAGTTTATCAAAATTTTACTTATAACAGTAAAGTTTTCCATATATTTAAATATTAATTATTAGACGTATTAAGTCTTATTACAAAAGTGGTTTATTGGTAGTTTCGGGTTAAAAGAAGAACAAACACAAAATAATTCCTTAGCCACAGCGGCACAGCATTCGCGAAATTTTATATTTTCTGTATATTTATATAGTTTACAATTTAGTTCGCATATATTCTATGGGATTTCTTTATTAAAATAGACTCTGGTTTAAACCTGGGCCTAATTATAAACTGCTGAAGTTATGAGACGGATTATATCGAATTGATTAACACTGATTTCCCTATCTGTGACGACAGTATAAGAGAATCTGTCAGTATATTTGGTCCCGTGGATGTCTACACAAGGGGTGCCTACACAATATTTCAAAAAGAACTTACAGCTTTTATATATAACCGACTCGTTTACGCCATACGTAAAATACCCGGAATAAAGTAGCGTCAAAAGAGCAAAACGTGTGGCACTGCGATCGTATATTCGCCTGCCGAGCGTGAACAGTAATGTAAATTCTCCCTAAGACAAAAGTGACACATGCCCAGCAGTGGAATTTTATAGTCTGATGACGAACAAGAAGAAGAAGAAAATTTTCCTTTACTTGATTTGTGATTCTCTACATTTAAGTACGACTGTCTATGTTGTACTGACTACTCGCTCGAAAATTTAAAAAATCAGTATAATATATAAACTCTTTTTACTTTAGGTAGTGTAACATCCGTGGCTTCTGTGGGTCGAGGCTACAATCGGGACCGCTGCGTAACTCTTCTAGTGGTGGACGACCAGAACACCGACTGGTCCAAATATTTCAGGGGTCGACGGCTGCCTGGCGAGTGGGACATTCGCGTCGAACAAGCCGAGTTCAAGGTATGATAAACTTTTGAAAATGTTTTTATTTTCACATATAATCTTATCGATATCTGTAAAAATGGAGAACACTATGAACGTTTTCTAACCCAAAGTTTTAAAACTATCTTTATTAATCTTATTGTAACATATATGATGTGTTTTTTGTACAAAACGCTGTACAATCACCTAAAAGTGAGCAAATAGATTAATAAATAGTACTTCATCAGCTAAACTTTTCAACAATTTTAAACAAGTAAACAACCATCAATATGGTTGTTTACTAGGTGCTAAGACTCTCTTTCTGCCTAGGATCACAGAATAAATAATAGTACAAGAACAGAAGAATCACTCTTTGATAGCAAACTTGCGAATTAAAACCTAGTTACAACGTCGCTAATAAAGCATACAATAGGAAGCCTTAGAAATGTCGTGAAGCAGCTGAAGGCTACGTAATAAATGGTATATATATATATTTTCACGTGTTGGATGGATAGCATTATAATACTACATTCATTCATTACAGCCTATAAAAAGTTAACTGCTGAACATAGGCCTCCCTATTGGTTGCCTCATATGTAGTTGCCATGCATGACATGTTTATATTGACGTATGCTCTTTTTAACGTATTTAATGTTTCTTTAAATTTTAACAGAATCTATTATCTAATAAACAATTTTTTTTATTGATATGAAATAGTTCGATCGAAAAAATAAAAGACAACATTCATTCTATAGTGTTTTAAAACATATATCATTAACAATTAAAGTTATGACGGCGTCACTAGAAAGTGAAATATAATATTTGACTGACTTCATAGCGGGGAAGTTAATTTTTTCGGAAAATGTAAAAGTTATTGTTTCTTTTTGTACTATTAGCTATATTTTATATTAATAATAATAATATCATTAAAAATAAATAAACAAAACCACAGATATTCATAAAAGTAGAAAAATAAAAAAGTTAAAAAAGTGCAAAAAATTAAAGAGCAAACCACTGAGGCATTGTTTTGTGTATTAACATAATACTCTAGAAACTAATAAACTTTTATTAAAAAACAACTTCTCAATTAAATTACATTGTGTAACAAAAAACTTTACCTCAGTGTCAACTAGGGACATCTGGTGAGCAGAAAATTATTAGCCCTCTTTCAATAAATTAAGCATTAACCTGCCTTTAAAAATTTTCAAGTAGCGTTTATTATTCAGGATATTGTAAATAGGCTTCCTTTCGTACTAAGAGTACTTGAATTCTAAGTATAGATGATTGCGTCAGTGCAGTAAAAAAATAGAATAAAACACACTTCAGAACAAATTTTGAATGGAAATACTTTTACCTTTTCTCATAATTTGCATTTAAATAAAATTGTGACGGTTGTATTTTTGAATATTTTCTTCCCTTTTTTATTATTTATTTCACTTCTATAATGTTCTCACCTGATTGGTATACATGAATACTCACAAAAAATATTTTACTAGTAAAAAGCCATACCAAGCCAAGCCAGCCAAGTTCAGGAAACAAAATAGACGCACCGGTAGTGTGCACACTTCACGAACCAACCACGAGCTACTTTCATCTCCTCTTCTTCTCCATTACAGTTCTTAAATTATAGTTCTTGAGTTATACGGTCTTAATTTCGTCATTCACTGACTCTTACTTTTTACTTTAAAAATATCTGGGTCACTTGTAAGTGACTTAGAAATTTGAATTAGGTCGAGGTAAGAGAAGGTAGATATTAGGCGTATACAAGGAAAAATATTTGAAGACAAGTAATCGATATACGGCGTTGAAAGTGTCGAAAATGTTATTAATGCGGTTATATCCAAATAATGTCCTTGAAACTAACCGTACTTATAACTTTGCCGATATTTAATTCTTATAGTTTAAATTTAGAAAATGAAGCAGTAAAGCAAAAACACAAAAATAAATGTTGGAGGATAAATTTATGGAACTACTATGAAATTTGACAACCGTTCATATATCAACTCATCGGCGAAGCCGACAACTCCGATCGTCCCTTGTTACAACTTTAACTTTTTACCTTGTTACAATGTTCACTTGGCCCCTTTTTTAACCGACTTCAAAAAGGAGGAGGTACTCAAGTCAACTGAATGTTTTTTTATGTGTGTTACCTCATAACCTTTTCTAAGTGAACCGATTTTGATGGTTCTTTTTATTTGAAAGTTGGTGCTTCTCATATGTTTGATTCCATATATTTGATCAAGGTCTGAGCACTAGTTTTTGAGTTATCCTTAATCATTTATAGTGATGTCGGTGGTACAACATTTTTAATTTACCACTTGTTACATTTATGTTTTTGTGGGATCTATGTTTAATAGAGTATATGATAAAATAGAACATAGTTAAATTAATGCATAGAACTCAAATATTATTATTATTATTTGTATCGTTAAATATTATAGGTAGTAGGTAGCTAAAGTGAGAAATTATACCCTGTTCATCTAAAACTAGAAACAAGGTTATTACTATTGCTATAATATGGGAAGTACATATTATGTCACATTGTCTACCTACACCGTCATATAATGCAAGATATGTTATTTCTTTAAATTTTATCATATAGCGTGAGTATATTTTCTGCAGGAATTATCCGTAACAGCAAACTCCGATGGTGCTAATGTATCCATGGCTGTATATCGAAGTGGAACCAAAGTGACACGATGCTTCAAGTGAGTATACTTATTCATTTAATTGTTACCAGCAATTATTTATTTTAAAACTATGTTTAAAATTTTAATTTTGTCAATTTACTAAAAATACAGCTACTTATTGCTTTATTTTTAACCGAGTTTAAAAAAGGAGGAACTTCTATATTCAAAGCGTATGTTTCTTTTATGTTGGTTCGCCTATTTCTCTGAAACTACTAAAATGATTGAAATCATTTTTAAAAGAATACTAAAGAGAAAACATTCCACTCCTAAAGTTGGCAAAATAGGGAATAAGACACACAGAACTCAATAAATGCGAGGGTCGATAGATATAGATAGGTCGATAGATAGTGTTGAAGGAGCATACTTTGTAGTTTGTGTGTAGTTATTTCATGCAATTGTAGCGTAAGAGAATTCTACATGTTATCATAGCTTTCGTAAAAGTCGATTAAAGGAAAATTTGTGCGTGTTAAGTGTCTTGACACTGTTTGCAGAAAAAACAATTGGTAACTGCCAAACTAACAAATTTATACTAATATAATTGTACACGCACCTAGTTGCCCAGACTAAGGTCGGCCATACAGGGGCCCATACAGCTGTTAGATTCGACGGACAACTAAGTGTGGGGCTCAAATGCCTATGGATATTTAATATATATGGATTAGGTACTTAATGCGACTTATCTGGTTCAGAAGCGAAGGCGGACCACAAGGCTCGTTCAGGCGTTAGGTGTAGTGAATGTGAGTAGTGTGTGAGAAGTGTATATATGTTTAACCTGAATTAGCCCTTTTTAATCAGCAGCAACCCTGACTCCAGCACCGCCACCCTATGTGGTATCACTCCAGCGGCGTCACTCGGTGTTACTCAAAGTCTAGCACAAATCTATAATCTAATACGAATGCTAGTTCTCGCGGGTCACCAAGTTTAGCGGTTTTAACCGACACAGGAAAATATCTCCGAGTTAAATCAAATGGCACAAAGCAACTCGTCGACGCGAATTAATATTGTCAGAATGCACTTATGCATGCAACCACTATACATCATCATCATCATCATTACAGCCTTTCACAAGTCCACTGCTGAACATAGGTCTCCCCCAAAGAATGCCATAAAGCACGGTCCTGAGCCACCTGCATCCATCGACTTCCTGCATATCTTACCAGGTCGTCACTCCATCCAGTGAGGGGACGCCCTACACTTCGCCTGCCGGTACGAGGCTGCCACTCGAGAACCTTTCTTCCCCATCGGTTGTCGGTTCTTCGAGCTATATGGCCGGCCCATTGCCACTTCAGCTTACTAATCCGTTGGGCTATGTCGGTCACTCTGGTTCTACTGCGGATATCCTCATTTCTGAGTTTATCACGCAGAGAAACTCCGAGCATAGCCCTCTCCATAGCTCGCTGAGCGACCTTGAGCTTCCTCATCCGGCCAGCAGTGAAGGACCACGTCTCAGTTCCGTATGTCATCACTGGCAACACGCACTGGGTGTACAGTCTCGTTTTCAAGTTTTGAGGTATACCTGATGAAAAGATGTGCCGTAATTTCCCGAACCACTATACAACTTGACGTTAATTAATTGTAACGACGTTAGTTAATCGCTCAAAACTCAAAATTCAGCCTCGTTGACACGTAAAACAAACAAAAAAAGACAACGCAAATGAGAGGCACTTAAATCGACGTTATAATTCCACACGCGTCCGTTACGACCGGTATTTCCTTACAATGATTCTCTCGACGCGTCCCGTTCGACACGACTTCGAATGGAATGCGTGTGCGCGGAGAGGCGGCGGTGACCTTGCTACGGTGCTATGCACGCTCCGAGCGTGCGTTATGAGTTCAATTTTCAAACGTTTAATATTTTGCCTAAACAAACCCCCGCCCCGGACATAAGAACTTATGTCCGCGAGAAAATTGTCAAACGGGACAGGGTCGCGAAGGCACGTTGCAAGACCGAATCTCCGACCTAAACCTCGGCCACCATACCATCCGTACGACAACTTAACAATGCGCCCACGGTGCCAACACAAAGGCAAAGCGTTGGGTTCTTTAACTAACACGTGGTCTCCAACCCGAGGAGGATCCGTCTTGTCAGACCACTTAATGCGCTGCTGCAAAAGATGTAGGTACTCCAGAGACCATCGGTGCCAAAAATCTCTGAGTCATCTGTTGCAGCAGGTCAAATCTGCTCAGCCGCGAAGAGTTTACTTCCCTGAAGGGATACTCGGGCAGGGTGTTAAGCGGCTGGCCAATCAGGAAGTGTCCCGGGGTTAGAACTTCCAAATCTTTCGGATCGAACGAGAGGGGACAGAGGGGCCGAGAGTTGAGTACCGCCTCAATTTTACAGAAGCTCCTCAAACGTCAAAATAGTTTCGCCAATAACGCGACGGAGATGCGTTTTTGCAACCTTAACCACCGCCTCAAAAATACCGCCCCAGTGTGGGCAAGCCGGAGGGTCGAATTTCCACTGGATGCCCTAGTTGGACATCGCAGTACCTAAATACGTCCTGTTGTTGGACAGGAATTCGATGACCTCTTTCAAATATCTATCCGTGCCCTTATAATTCGTTCCGCAATCAAACCGGATTAGGTTCGGCAAACCGCGACGCGATACGAAGCGGCCCAGCGTGGCCACAAAGGCTTCAGTGCTGAGGGTACTTACCAGTCTAAGTGAACGGCCTTAGTGGAGAGGCACACGAAAACGCACAGATAGGCCTTATGTGAACGCGCGTTACGAAGGTTGGAGGACTTGACGAGGAAGGGGCCAGCAAAGTCTGTTCCGACTCCAGCGAATGGTCGGATGGCCCTGACGCGGTCGGATGGTAAGTCACCCACGATAGGCTGCGATATGGTGGCCTTCAGTTTATAACATGGTATGCACTTAAAGATGACGCTCCGAATGGTGCGTCGGCCAGCCAAAATCCAAACTCCAGCTGCAAAATAGCCGAAAGAGCGTTACACCCAGCGTGGTCATTCTTAACATGATGGTGGGTTACCAGCAACCGGACAAAGGCGCCGTCCTTAGGGAGCAGTAACTGGTGTTGAGCCCCGTACGGCAGTTGAGAATTTTTCAAACGTCCGCCAACGTCACTCCTAGGAGCTTATCGAGAGAGCTGTACCGTTCTAGCAGGGAGAGATCCCGAGTGGGATTATCCTTGCCCACTCCTACTCGGTCTCGTAGGCCAGGCAATTCAATCGGTTCGGAGTATTTACCCTGGGGCCAGAAGGACTGAGACTCAGTCAACCAACTGGGACCCCACCACAGCGGGTGGTCAACCAACGAGGGGGCTTCACAGCCGCGAGAAGCGCAATCTGCGGGATTCAACTCACCTGGGACATGTCTCCAGTTTAGAGAAGTCTCAGAACTCTGGATTTGAGACACGCGGTTCGCTACAAAGACCTCAAGATTGTGAGGTGCAGCTCTGAGCCAACAAAGTACTATCTCACTGTCCGACCAAGCGTAGACGTCCGTAATGTCGATTACAGCCGTCAAAGACGAGTGAACGTGGTTGAGGAGTCGCGTGAGAAGAGCGGCTCCGGACAGTTTCAATTTAGGGATAGTTAAGCGGGACCTAATGGGAGCAACCTTGCTTTTAGCAAGTACGAGATGGACTGCAGTATGACCAGAAGAGCTCACAGTCCGAAAATATACGACAGCAGCATAGCCTTTCTCAGAAGCGTCGCAAAACCCATGTAGGGTAGCCCTGCATTTCCCTGGAGGGAGGAAGTACCTTGGCATGGACACCCGGGTGATGTCCGGAAGGGAGGAGACAATGGAGAGCCACTCTCGCCAGAGAGTTCCGCTAGTAGGCTCGTCCCAACCCAACCCGGATATCCAGAGCTTTTGAAGAAAGCACTTAGCTAAAAAGATGACCGGGGTGAACCATCCATTAGGGTCGAAGGTGCGGGCTACTGTAGACAGCACGGAGCGCTTGGTCCATGCTTTGGGAGGGGGTCGAGTTTTATTCGATACGTGAAGGTATCCTCAACAGGCTGATATTGAATGCCCAGCACAGTCAACAAATTAGGATTTTCAGGGTGCTCGAATAGATGAGGGTCTTGTTGACCCTCTCCTGGCAGGTTCTTCAAAATATGAGGGGAGTTCGACAACCATTTGCGCAACTCATAACCGGACTTCAGGATGGCAATTAATTCGTCTCGCAAGACAAGAGCCTCCTCGACGGTGTCGTCATGTAGACCGAAGTCTCTAAAATAGAAGCCACCGGAGCGTATCTTAGGCTAGCTAGTTCAAGGAGGGCTCGCATGGCGATATACGGGCTGGACCGGAGTCCATAGGTAGTGGCGTTCAACTCAAACACCTGTATCGGATCGCTGGGCTTCTCAGAATATATATTCGCACAATATCAGCTGATATCGACGGTCATCACGATGGACTACTGATTGTCGAAACATCATCCGAATGTCGGCTAAAAACCACTTGGTGCCGATGGAATTGGGTCAAAATGTCGAATATGTCTGTTCACGCCCAAACGCTGGTTTCAAGACTTGACGCCGGAGGTCGCACGGCTCGATACAGCGCGTTTATAACCGGTTAGACGTGTGAGCGGTTAACGGGAGTTTTGTTGCCAGCGGCCCGCGTCCGGGGATTGCAGCCGGTTGGTTGCTACCGACGGCTGGGTCGAGTCGAACGGTTGCTAGAATACAGTGCGGTCGAGAGCGCACGTCGTGAAGTCGCCCGGGAAACCTCCATTTTGAGAAAATAATTGTTGCCACGCGAAACGGAAGTGACCTTTGATCCGAACATTCGGTATTCGTGTTGTGTGTTATGCTTTATAATAAACGAGTGTTAGTGGCGTCTGGAAGTAGACTGACATAATGAAGAAGAAAGAAAGTGACTGTGGGTGACGCCGCTGGAGATTACCACAATTTGGACCGGTACCGAAGTCCGGGCTGCTGCCGACTTCAACAGTCCAGTCAGATCTATCACAACCAACACCACAAAAACACCACTATACTCAACACATACACACCTCCAGCCTGACCGAGCCCTGAGACAGCAGTCG